TTATTTTGTTATTCTTGTATACTTGTAATCTTATTCTAAGAGAAAGGAAAGAATAGCAGTTTAATAACCAATCCTTGTTGTTTTCTTCTTTGTTTATCCTAACCCTAACCCTTGTGTGTTTCTTAATCATTAAGAAACTGTTTATACTTAGTTTTAAGGTATCCGATTCACAACAAATTGGTGCGGTGAGCGTGGAGAAGATGCCTTCAACAAAGTATGAGATTGAAAATTTCACCGGAGTGAATGACTTCGGTCTGTGGCGCTTGAAGATGAAAGCCCTACTGGTTCAGCAGGGTTGTTTGGAAGCGTTGAAGGGTGAGGCAGCCATGGACGCTGCATTAACGGCAAAAGAAAAGACGGGCATGATCGAGAAAGCCCACAGCGCAATATTGTTGAGCCTTGGTGATAAGGTTCTTCGACAGGTATCAAAGAAGACTACAGCATCAGGATTATGGGTGAAACTTGAAAGTTTGTACATGACCAAATCTATGGTAAATCGAATCTATCTGAAGCAAGCTTTATATTCATTCAAGATGAGTGAAGACAAAGTGTTGGCTGAGCAGTTGGATATGTTCAACAAGCTGATTCTTGATCTTGAAAATATTGATGTGAAGATCGATGATGAAGATCAAGCACTGTTGTTGTTGTGTGCTTTGCCCAGAACACATGTTCACTTCAAAAAAACTCTCTTGTATGGAATGGACTCTCTGACCTTTGAAGAAGTTCAATCAGCTTTATATTCTAAGGACTTGAACGAAAGAAAGGAGCATAAACCTTCGACGATGGGTGAAGGTTTGGCCGTTAAGGGAAAATTCTTGCGAAAGGATGGTAAGTTCGACAAGAAGAAAGGTAAAAGTCAACAGAAGTCTTATAGTGGCGAAACATCTAGTATTCGATGTTATCACGTAAGAAGGAGGGTCACATAAGAAAGGTGTGCCCTGAACGCCTGAAAGATCATGGAGGTAATGGCAATGCAGCCATTGTTCAAGATGACTTTGACTCATCTGATGTTCTTGTGGTTTCAAGTGGCGACTCGAGAAAAGAGTGGATTATGGATTCAGGTTACACTTGGCACATGACCCCAAACAGAGAACTGTTCGAGGAGCTATGTGATCAAGATGGGGGATCTATGCTGCTGGGAAACAACAAATCTTGCAAAATTGCAGGTATTGGATCTGTGAGATTCAAGCTCCATGATGAGTCAATAAGGTTACGTTTTTCAAGGATACGTTTTTCAAGGAGAGAAAAGTATCCTAAGGGTCATGAAGGGGTCGAAGGAAGTCTTAAGAGGCGTGAAGAAACAAGGCTTGTATACCCTTGAGGCTGAGGTTGTAAGTGGTTCGACAAATGTTGCATCCACGAAATCTATGTCGAAGACAGAATTATGGCACATGAGATTGGGCCATGTCAGCGAAAGAGGCCTGATCGAATTGGGGAAGCAGAACCTGCTAGGAGGTGACAAAGTCGAAAATTTGGAATTTTGTGAATCTTATGTATTTGGTAAATCCTGTAGGGCGAAGTTTAACAAAGGCAAGCAAAGAACACATGGATCCCTGGATTACATTCATGCTGATCTTTGGGGGCCTGCAAGGAATCCTTCACACTCAGGTGCAAGGTATTTTCTATCCATCGTTGATGACTATTCCAGAAAGCTATGAGTATTCATTCAGAAGACGAAGGATGAAACTTTTGAGAATTTCAAAAGTTGGAAGATTTTGGTCGAAACTCAAACTGGCAGAAAGGTTAAGAGGTTGAGAACCGACAATGGCCTTGGATTCTGCAATGAAGCGTTCAACAGTTATTGTGTTGAGTCTGGGATTGCAAGGCATAAGACTGTAGCAGGTACTCCTCAACAAAATTGCTTAGCTGAGAGATTCAATCGAACAATCCTTGAAAGGGTTAGATGCATGTTGGTTAGTGCTGGATTGAAGAAGGTGTTTTGGGCGGAAGCTGTTTCGACAGCAGCTTACCTGATAAATAGATGTCCCTTGACTGCCTTGGGAATGAAGACACCTGAAGAAGTTTGGTCGGGACATCCACCTAGTCTCGACAGACTGAGAGTATTTGGCTGTGTGGCCTATGCTCATATTAGGCAAGACAAGATCGAACCTAGAGCTCTGAAATGCATGTTCATGGGATACCCTAAAGGAGTAAAAGCTTATAGGCTATGGTGCCTAGAGCCAGGTCACAGAAGGTGCATCACCAGTCGAGATGTAGTTTTCAATGAAGCAGAAATGACTTTCAAGAAAACTGATGATGCTAACGAAGAGCTGGAACAGGGAGAGATTCCTGTTGAGGTGGAGCATGTTGATGCTGAATTGCTTACCCCAGATGAAGTCGAAGAAGACGCAGAAGATGTTGTCGAAGATGAGGAGACTGATAATGACTACCTGCTAGCAAGAGACAGGTCGAGGAGAATCATCAAGCCACCTCAGAGACTTGGGTATGCAGATCTTATAGCTTATGCCTTAATCTCTGCAAGTGAGGTTCTAGACGAAGAACCTAGAGATTATAAGGAAGTTATGAGGAATCAAAAGAAAACTGAATGGCTGAAGGCCATGGATGATGAGATGAAATCTCTTCATGATAACAACACCTGGGAACTGATAAAGAAACCTGCTGGAGCCAGGTTAGTCAGTTGTAAATGGATTTTCAAAGTTAAGGAAGGAATCGAAGGAGTGACGTCGAAGAGATACAAGGCAAGATTGGTTGCTAGGGGATTCACTCAGAAAGAAGGTATCGACTTCAATGATGTGTTTTCTCCTGTTGTGAAGCACAGATCCATTCGAATGTTGCTTGCCATGGTGGCCCAGTTCGACCTTGAACTGGAACAGATGGATGTAAAGACTGCGTTCTTGTATGGTGATCTAGATGAAACAATCCTGATGAGGCAACCTGAAGGGTATGTCGAAAGAGGGAAGGAAGATTATGTGTGCAAACTGAATAGATCTTTATATGGACTGAAACAATCTCCTCGATAGTGGAATAGAAGATTCGACAAGTTCATGGCACAGATAAGTTTCATCAGAAGTCAGTTCGACCACTGTGTTTACTTCAGATTTCGACCGGGTAATTCATTTGTTATTTTGTTGCTCTATATGGATGATATTCTAATAGCAAGCAACAACGTCGAAGGGGTAATCGAGCGTGGAGAAGTTCAAGTGCTGAAGGTTTCGACAGATCATAATGCTGCTGATATGATCACCAAGACGTTGCCCAGTTGCAAGTTTTTCCACTGCATGCAGTTAATAAAGCTGCATGAAGAAAGCTAGTTTCTTGATGTTATAGAGTTAGATCCAAGGTGGAGATTTGTGAGATGTTGGATCGAACTCTAGTATGGTCGAAGTCTGTTCGTGAGTAATGCGTGTTGTAGTCGAAGTTTGTTCTAACATGCATTAGTCAATATTGCTAGGGTTGTTAGCATGTTGAATTGGGTTTTGCTTGTAAGCCCAATTGTCTAAGTTAGTTTGTACCCTAAATTAGCTTGTAATGGGTAATTGTTAAAAAGCCTATTAGGTTAGTGTGCTATTTTTCTTATAAATAGGATACTAGTTTCTCAATCTTGGCATAAGGAAAAATAGGAAGATAAAATCCTAATTTCAAGAGAGAGGTTATTTTGTTATTCTTGTATACTTGTAATCTTGTTCTAAGAGAAAGGAAAGAATAGCAGTTTAATAACCAATCCTTGTTGTTTTCTTCTTTGTTTATCCTAACCCTAACCCTTGTGTGTTTCTTGATCATTAAGAAACTGTTTATACTTAGTTTTAAGGTATCTGATTCACAACAATTTATTTTTCCTTTTCAACCCTTTTGTAAATATAGGCGTTGTGATTCTTGCTGTATATAAATCTCTCTTTGGCTTCGTTTAGCCAAGTAGCAATAATAATAATTTTAGTTTTTCTCTTTTTGTCTTGATGCATGACATCATTATTTTTACACTGAGAAACACTCGGTTGAATTCCTCTAAAGGTTAAACCAGTGGATGGTTTGACCTTCCATACTGAGTTGGGTGAGTTGAATACACACACCTTCTGAAACACGTTGAACCTCGAAGTAGGACTCTGCTCTAGTAATCCATGCGACCGGATCATCGTCGTTAAAAGGCGGTTACTCCACCTTCTTAGCGGAAAGGCAAACAAAATTCATCCAACAAAGACAAAGATCCTCCTTCACTAACAGGAATGCGATGGTGCTATGTTTGTCTCCAACAGCTTACGCATCTCAGTTAAAAAAAATTCCTGCATCGTATCGAGACGAGTCTTTCACTGTGGTGACTCTATCCGTCATTTTTGGGGGCATGAAAAACAGCAGGTCGGACCAATTGATAGAGCAGAGTAGAATATAAGATGAATTAAACTGTGAATGATATTATTAATTGAAATGAGAATGAAATCTCTCTTACAATTCCAAAGCTAAGAGCACCTCTCAAAGAAAGAACAATTTTTCTTTCTCTCGCCAGCTGCTAACCCACACTGAACGTGATTCCCCCACTACTCTCCTTCCCTACTCTTAAGGAGAAGTTTCTACTAACTGGCTTAGTGGGTTTATGTGGAAGTGTTCTCCACAGCTCTCATTTTCTTTCTTTCGTAAACTCTCCAAATCTTGAATTTATAATGCTTAAAGCCCAGGAAAGTGTCACCCTCTATTGTAGTAGGCTTGTTAGTCATGAATAACTTTAAATCGTACGGTTCTCTTGCTTCCCAAGCAAAATGACAAGAGAGCATCAATAGAAAAGTGTGGGAATAAAGCATTTTGGGACTTTGCCATCTTTCTAATTTGAAATTGACCTTGCCATCTTTCCATATTTCCTAATAATGAGTCTTGCTATAAATTGAACTAACATTAGTTTTCAGAAACAGGTTCCTTCAAGGGCTAGAATCATTTTCATGAAAAGATTCAAAAACCAAACAAGATTACATGTTTATACTACTGAAATTGTCAAGGTATCAGTTTGCAACACTTTTCTAATCTCATAACTGCATTAGAAAGGTAAACAAGATCTAATACTTGGTAAGGTTTGTAGTCAAACCAAATCCAAATGGAAAAAGAGGATCATAATGTTTATCACCAACATTCATTGGTAGCTGGTCAACTGTCTTGAACCACGTCCTTGCCAGCTTACCGGTGAATTCAAAGTCACCATAAAGAACGTCGGCAACACCTTGACCTTCGGTGCCAGGAAGCCAGGCAGCTACAAGTGCATCAATCTTTGATAGATATGGCTGAATCACAACCGGGCGCCCAGTGACGAGAACAACTACACATTGAATGTAGCCACATACATTGGTTATGGTGCTTGGACCTGGCTCAGCTATTGTTAGATTCAAACTGTCACCAAATGTCTCAGCATAAGGTGGTTCTCCCACAACTACTATGGCATAGGAAAATTTGTTCGACTTGATAAAATTAGCATCAGGATTTTCATTGTAGACAACGTTGGTTGCAGGATCAACTGTTTGTTTTATCGCATCAAGGATGGTTGTACCTATTATCAAATAGTAACTCTATTAGATGTTGCGTAATTTTTCCACAAAGGAAGCTATGATAGAGGAGACTGAAACGAAACGTTACGACTTACCGGATGTAAGATCACTACCAGTAAGCCCTTGCCATGTAATTGTCCATCCACCACATTGATTACCCAAATTGTCAGCATGACTTCCTGCCACCAATATTTTTGAAGCTTTCTTGGGAAGAGGAAGCAGTGGCTTATGAGCAGATTTACCATTCTTTAACAACACTAGGGATTTTCGAACAGCTTCTCTAGCTAACTCTCTATGTTCCTGTTTAAGACACGATATGCGATCAACTAAACAAACTCTTTTCATAGACGAGGTATCTGACACATATTCAAATGATATTTATAAGAAAATGTACCTTGCTACCCAATTGGTTTGTGAGGCTTAGATCAGCGAGTGGATTTTCAAAAAGGCCCATGGTAAATTTCACTCTTAAGATTCTTGCTACAGCATCATTAATCCTGCTCTCTGGGATAATATTGTTCTTAACTTGATAGGTCAGGTCATCAATGAACTCAGTAAAGTTATAGGGAACCATAATCTGCAAAAAATGTGAATTTTAAATAGAAAGTAATTTCCAAATACTAAACTCTAAGACTATAGAAACATTTTTTTGTTTCTTATTTAACTTATTTAAGTGAAAAAAATATTTACCATATCAATTCCAGCACTAACACCAGCTTGAACAGAGTATGAATAGTTAGCATGAGGAGGAGATGTAATCCGGTCAATACCCTGCCAATCTGATATGACAAAACCCTGAAATATGGAAGAAAAATACATGATATGCAACTATTTACGTCTGTATTTTTTCTGAAATATAAGTCCATTGTTTTTAATTAGAAAACTATTTCGATTGATTTTATTACCCTGAACCGCAGTTTGTTCTTGAGGTAATCAGTGACAAGATCCCGGTTAGCATGCATTTTCTTCCCATTCCAGCTAGTGTAGGAGATCATAACTGTTGAAACACCCTTGATAACAGAGTCATAGTATGCCGGCATGTGAATTCCAAGCAATCCTTTGTAGTTTATCAAAGTATTGTTCTCATTGATACCCTTGTTTGTGCCACCATCTCCCACAAAGTGCTTGGCACAAGCTGCAACCTTGTTCCTGGCCGAAGTAATTTAAATGAAGGGCCATTTTTTTCAGCTCTATGCATTCATACAATAAATGAGCTGCTATTCATGATTAATTTTAATATGAAAATTGGAAGCTTTGTATTCAAACAATAAAACACGGAGAAACATTAAATCTAAACACACTGTATCCTAATTATAAGAACATGGCATGCATGCTTTATTAACAAGGCTTTTTGACTAATAAAGTTCATAATATATACTTTAACATTTAATATCTTTTTGTGTGTGTGTGAGTGGGCGCACTTGATCATGTCCACATTTTAGATGATACATCGATTTGGATGCAAAAGGTGGTGAGCCCAACCATCCAAATAATCATAAAAACCCAAATGTGTAGGACCATCATAATGGTATAGGACCATCCAAAAGCAGCTCTTGGACTCACCATCTTTTCTATTTCTTTTTCTTCCCCCTTTTATTTTTATGAATGCAAAATTCAATGGAACATAACCTTTATCTACTTTAAATAAAACCTATATAATAAGGATGTCTAGAAATTAAACAAGCCCTTCATAGAAAATCACCAACCATACAACTACAAGACAAAACTAAGGACCATAAAATTTTCTTTTCAATACAAAACTTGAGACAAGAACCTTACTTTCCAGCAACAAAGGGAGTTCCTTTCCTGGATTTTCCAGGAATATCTCCTTGCAGACCCGGTATAATTTCAGTCATAGTTCGAACAATCTGAGGATCCTCACTGTAGCTTTCGTAGCAACGTCCCCACCTTGGATCTCTGCAAACCTGTTGTTAATGAATAGTTCATCAATATATCAGCAAATTTGATCAATGTTTTATACAATTCAAATCGAACAGCACAATATTGAAACACTGCTTCCTTACCGCAATACAGGGAGCAAAGACATATGGAATTCCGGTAGCTCTAACTTCAAGGGCAGTTGCTTCTCCAATCTTTTTTATTAGCACCGGATCCCTAATAACAAAACAGTAGATCCCATTACAACAAAAGCAAGAAAATGCTGGGTTTGTGGTTTATCAAAAAGGTTTGCATCTTCAAATATAGTAACTTCCAACAACAGTATTACTTCATTAGGATTTGGAAAAACAAGATCCTTTCAGTTAACTACGCTATGCATTCTTTATTTTTTATTTAATCATTTCATGACTAGTCAAATTCGTGCATAACATTAAACTTGCCTGGTAACTCCTAGCCCAACATTGTGAGGAAAAATGGTAGCATTGTAGACATTATTGTGACCATGAACAGCATCTATCCCATAAATCATCGGTATCCCAAGGGGAGTAGATAAAGCTGCATTTTGGATCTGATTCACCATTTTCACCCATGTCTCTGCAGAAGCTTTTGGAGCTGGAACACTCCCTCCCCCACTCAGCACACTCCCTACATATCCATAATATCACTTTACTAAAGCAAAACAATATAAAAAACATATAAAACCGTAACTCAAATACAACACATGACACTGACAAATCGACACCGTTAATGTAGTTACACTGACTGACACCGCCTTTACACAAGTCTATCAAACACTCAGATTCAGAAACCAAGACAGCATCAAACAATACGAGAAACTAGATTTGAGTGATTTTACCAATGAAGTACTTGCTTATAGCATCAGGAGTAGCAACACTCCTTTCAACCTGAGTCATTTGACCTATCTTTTCCTCCAGAGTCATTCTACTCAACAAGTCTCTGATTCTTCTACCCAATGGCACTTTAGGGTCTTTATACTTTCTATACTCTGCTTCTGAAAACGAAACCAGAAAGCACAGCAGCAGAACACACAAAATAGGGATTGAAAATTTCCCCATTTCAAATCCTCAACAACCAAAATATATAACCAATCTGCAAATACACCAAACAGAATCAAATTAATCAAAAAACAAAAACCAAAATCAGTTTCAACAAATGGATCAAAGAGTAAGCACAATGAGCATTAAAGAAAGTTAGCATTTGAGCTACATTAACATGAAATTTGAAAGCTAACAAAAAAAACAAAACTAAAATATAACAGTGAACTGAAAAGAAAAAGGAAAAAGGGGAACTTGTGTACCTTAGAAAAAGCTCAGTGAAGGAGAAGAGAAAAAACTAGATTCAAAAATGAACAATTTGGTGAAGTGGTTTTAAGGTAGTGGGGGAAGAGCAAGGTAGTAGTACTAAATAGTAAATCAATGTAGAGAGAGAAACTAGAGAGAGAAAGTATCTCACATTAGCATTGGGGTCCATGCAACTAGTGTTTTTGCTATTTTTATTTTTGAACTTTGAAAAACAAAGTTGAATAACTTTCATGTATCTGTTATTAGATACTTAAAATTAATGATAATACTTTAAAAGCTTTGAAAATTTTGGGAACTTTATTTTTATTGAATCTTATTTAATGTTACATATTAGTATTTTTGGTTTAAAAAAGTATTATTGTTTATAATGTTTTAAATTTATTTTTTAATTTGTTTATATTAAAATTGATCTTAATTATGTGTATTATTGATAAGATATTATTCGATTGCATTTATTTTTCAAGACTTTTTAACAAGTTTTGTATAAAAAACAATAAACTTTTTGACAAGTTTTGTATAAAAAAACAAAAAATAATTGAGATGTTGAAAGAGTGTTGAACTGAGACGCAGGCTTAATAGTCGCCGGTGGAAAAGGAGTTCCCACTCCCACACGCATTCAATTGTTTTTTTCTTAATAGAGAATAAGCCTCAATAAACTAAAGGTTATGGCTGCTCTAGTGATAGTTTCATCATTAATTTTTAAAATTTGATTTTATTGAGAGATATTTTTTTCATAAAAGTATTCTTTGTGCACAATGGTATAAACTAATCTCTATAATATGTGGCAAATTCTTCTTAAAAAATTTAACACAATTGTTGATCAAAAATTGAATTTGAATTTAGAATTTCTGATTAAATTGAAAAAGACTTCGGTCATTTCATCTAAATATTCTTGAGTTATTGGAAGGAATTTTATCGGTTAGAAATTTAAAGTTGTTTGAAATAATACTGGTCAGCGTTTGCAATGTTTCTATTTGGATTCATGACTAATGAAATTTTGAAGAAGAGAAAGATATAAATGGTTGTGAATTTTATTATGATTTGATTTTTTAAATAAAAATAATAATAACTAACTAGGATTTGATGCTAATTATATATAAAGTGGAGATGAACTCGAATTTTTAATTTTATATGAATAGCTCTTGTCTAGAAATGTAAATGGATATTGTGAGATGTTGGATCGAACTCTAGTATGGTCGAAGTCTGTTTGCGAGTAATGCGTGTTGTAGTCGAAGTTTGTTCTAACATGTATTAGTCAATATTGTTAGGGTTGTTAGCATGTTGAATTGGGCTTTGCTTTTAAGTTCAATTGTTTAAATTAATTTGTACCCTAAGTTAGCTTGTAATGGATAATTGTCAACAAAAAAAAACCATTAGGTTAGTGTGTTATTTTTCTTATAAATAGGATGCTAGTTTCTCAATCTTGAAAAATAAGGAAAAATAGGAAGATAAAATCCTAATATCAAAAGAGAGAGGTTATTTTGTTATTCTTGTATACTTGTAATCTTGTTTTAAGAGAAAGGAAAGAATAGCAGTTTAATAACCAATCTTTGTTGTTCTTTATTGTTTTACCTTGTCTTCTTTGTTAACTGTTTATACTTTGTGTGTTTCTTGATCATTAAGAAATTGTTTATACTTAGTTTAAAGGTGTCTGATTCACAACAAATATATATAGGATATATTATGATATTTGTATCCTTCCTTATGATATTTGTATCATTTCTGTTAGATAAATATAATATTCATATTCATCTCATATTCATACGGATGTTTGTTAAGCGGATAATCTGTGAGGTTTACGGTATCCGTGGATATTTAAGATATATATGGACTATATTTTTTTTATAAAAACAAAAATTGAAAAAATTATTTTTAACGTCTTTTAAACACACAAAAGGTTATTATTAAATAAAATTCATACAATTCGCTCTTAATTTAAAAATAAAATTTGATCACATTAATTTTCTTTTTATTCACCAAAACATAAAAGATATTGTAATTATGAGTTATGATGGAAGAACTAACAACAGAGGAGTAGGATGAGAGACACTAATTTGACAGAAGAATGATAACATTAATTGGCTGGAATGTACGTGAAATTGTTTAAGTGATGTTAAATAGTTTAATAATTGTTTTATTAAAAAAAAATATATCTATATAAATAATGTGGTTAATTTTGTTGGTAAAACATTATATATTATTTCATAAAATTATTTTTATTAGTTATACAAAAAAGATAGATTAAGAAATTATATATATATATATATATATATATATATATATATATATATATATATATATATATATATATATAATCATATCTGATCAGAGAGATCGCTGAGCTGCCACGCGTCTGAGCTGTCGAACTGTTGACTTGATGGACAGAGGGGGGTGTACCTGAAACACACTCTGATGCCAAAGTAAGTGACGAGCAGAGTGATAACAAGTACAGAGAGAAGAGTGAGAAATTAGGTTATCTGCCCCTCTAGTGGAAGAAGGTATTTATAATGAGCCTCCGGCGCAGGGCTAACGGTTACTCTGCGTTGGGTTGGGTTGTCAGGCCCAACGTAGGTAACCGCTAGGGATGATGTAGCGTCGTGAAGTCCAACATGTGGTCTTCACCCTAGTGTAACTGTTATGTGCTATCCGGGAGGTGGAGGACCGACTCATTAGGATACGGGTAGTTACTTGATGACGTGTCTCCACTTAGGGGACACGTAGAGAACGTGGGGGGGGTCTGAGGAGCTCCCCGGGCTGGCTGGGCTCTTCCCGACCGAGGGGGAGAAGGAGGTCAGTCGGATAGCTATGAAGGTCTTTCTCGACGGCTGTTGGCATGTGCCCGACGGGAGAAGGTGTTGTGCCCGACGGAACTTTGGCCCGTCGATGAGGTCTTATTATGCCCCAATCCAGTGGGGTTTGTGATCTGTTTGATTGTGGGTCAGACGTTGGCCCAGTCTAGAACAGTAGCCCCCTAAGTCGTTGCTCGCGGTCAAACGAGCTATGACTTAAGTAGCGAAGGCGAGCCTACGATGCGGGGGAAGCCCGCGGTCGGGGAGGAGAACCTGAAGAGACGTAGGGAAGGTGGAGGATCGCCACATGTCTCACTGTGGAGGCTACGGGCTAGGTACTTAAGCGCCTAGCGATGCTTCGTTTCCCGTGCTAGGGTTATATATATGCGGATCCAGCCCGTCCTTTCGTTCATTCGTTTCTTTCGTTGTTGCTCGACATCTTGAAATTTCTGCTCGGCGCCTTCAATCTTTCTATTCGTCCTTCACAATCTCCCAGCTCGACGTGACAGCTTTTTCTGCCACCGCATCACGTAAGTTCATGCTTCCCTTCTGGTGTTTTTTAGTGTTTCCGGCGGCGTTTCTGGTGGCTCCGCTAGGGGCACCGGGATGACCGCGGGCTTTTCCGATGAATATGTTGAAGGGTCTTTAAAATTTTAGGGTAGTGACTGGTTGTCCCCTGCCCTTGCGATGAGTGGCCCGGGGAGGATTTATAGGACTTTGAACGTCCCGGGGGTAGTTGATGAATGCCCCGGGCACGATTCGATGAATGAGTCGAGGACAAGGAGGGTATTCCCGGGGCAGCTCGGAGGATTGGGATACCCATACACTGTCTTCTAGGCGTCTAGGCGACCACGCCCTTTTACTTGAACTGCAGTGGAAGGATGGATTTAATTTGGCTGTCGAATTCACCAAGTTCCTCTGCTTTTCAGGTAAAATGACTGACCATGACGAGGAAGAGGTGCAGTGGTATCTGTCCGAAGACGATGAAGGTCGCCAGGACGAGGCCGTCGCAGATCCCCTGCCCAGACCGTTAGAGGAATGGGTCGGGGATGAGCCTCTAAGTTATATTATGAGGTTCGTCCTTGACGACTCCAACGCATTCGCTATGATAGAAGATAAGGTGGTCGGGTCTCCCCGTCATTTCAAGCTTTCTGGCCACGGGAGTTGGATCGTATATGCTCGCGTTACGACGGAGGTCGATTCCTCATGTACGAGTTTGCTTTCAAGGAGGTGGGGATGCGTATTCCGTTTACGGGCTTCCAACAGGGCGTGTTCAACCACTTGATGTTGGCGTCGTCCCAACTCCATCCAAACTCTCTCGCCTTCCTCCGGGCTTTTGAAATCGTCTATGACTATCTCAAACTCGGGGCCACCATCCTGTTGTTCATTTGTGTCTTTCATTTGCAGCGGAAGACGGTGGCTGGTCGACACAATTGGGTATCTTTGAAGCAGCCGACCAAACTCTTCCGACCATATACCAACTCAGTTCGGGGGTTCAAAGACAGGTGGTTCGTGGTCATGCTGGAGACGGACGAGGCCTATGATGTAACACCCCCTTTCTATACCCCCAAATAATCAAATAATCATTTAGACACATATTAATTTTCATCAGAGTATAATTGTAAACATGGTATAAAATTTTCATGCGCGCCAAGTTTTTTCTATCTTGACTTTGGTTTGGGTCGTGGGCCTTTATTGTAATATTTGACTGTCGGACTTCTGCCTGTTTTATGGAGTTCATTTTTCTTCTAAGTGTTGGTGTGTGCTCGGTTATTTACTCATGTATGCATACTTTATACGTTTGTTTTCTTTATATGCTTGTTCGTACGTTTATTACGCTTGTTTTTTATGTTTACTATGTTGTTGAGAGTGATAGCTCGACATTTATTATGCCCGGTAGTGTAGAGAACTGGACGGTTGACCGGTGTGGTTACCTGGTCGGTTACGGAGATGGACCGCGGTTGG